CCCCCCCCCCCCCCCCCCCCCCCCCCCCCCCCCCCCCCCCCCCCCCCCCCCCCCCCCCACCCCCGGTACAATGTGAACAGATGTTGACTAAAAATTCTATATTAATAAACTATTAAAATATAAGAAGGATTACATTACTTTTCCCTTTTCGATAGAACCTATCGAGTTCAAAATGAAATAGTTTACCCTTAACGAAGTATAACCTGCGAAAATCAATTGCTTCATATAGATTCTCCAAAAAAAGAAGAACGTTCATCATCGATTACATCCTCGATTTCGACGCCATCTCTGTCAGAAAATGAGCACGATGATGAGCAACAGCAAGAACAAGAACAAGAACAAGAACAAGAACAAGAACAAGAACACGAACATGAACATGAAAGCGAACATGAACAAGAACATGATGAAATAACATCATCGTCCAGATTATCATGGAACAAAGAAGAATCTCAAGGACCATTTATACTCTTACGTGATGTTCGATCAAAATCTCCTCCACTTCCATCTCAATCTGAGCAATCTGCTGATTTACTAGATTTATTTTCTACGCCAGTAGTCCCATTATCGAATTCAAATACAAATCATAATGATAAAAATACGAAAAATTTACTAGATGATAGTTTATCATCTGTTTCGTCTTATGAAAATAATAATAACAATAATAGTTCAAGTTCAGACTCAATTGAAGGAAAAAAAATACGATCTACATCACCAATCCAACATCAATCAATTCATTCATCATCAGCATCATCTACATCCAGCAAAGGTAATATTAAAAGAAAAAGAAAAATTTCATTATTATTCTAAGAAGAGAGAAGCAAAAGAGGTAGAAAAAATGTTTCAAAACGAATAATTCACTATTTTTGCACAATAAAAAACTATCTGTATTAGTTAGCAATGAAAGTAAAAAAGATTTATATATATATATATACAAGTTTGAAATTATATTCTACATATATAGAGATTCGTAAATATATAAATGAGAACTCGTTATTTCTAATGAAAAATAACCTTCATTTTTTGATTACAAAATACAAGTGAACCCCGTTTACTTTTCTTGAGAGATTTCGTGATAAATATCAATAGTTTGCATTGATTACAAATCCTTTCTTTTCTTTCACTCTCTGTTGAATATTTTCATGATTACGTTTTTCAATCAATATATATATATATATATTTCTTTATATCTAGTGTTGTTTATAGGATATATAAATGCTTAAGTAGAAGGAGATTTTCTTTTGTTTTCAAAACGATTGTTTTATTATGTTATTTTATTTCATTTGTTATCTGATGTAACACCCTAATTGTCGTGCGGTGTTTATTTAATCTCTCGGCTTCGCATTGACATTCTTCTTCCGGGATGAAAAGAATAGAAATGAAGAGGAGGTTAGACCGAAGGTGGTTCAATTCTTTTCGGAAGACGAGTTAGTCCACCTTTTCTTTTCGTCTTTTGTTTATTGAACAATTTATCTTAGTTGTTTCTATTTTAATCTCCGATGTGTGTGTATGACGAAAACGCAACAGATTGTTCATTATTTTATTCTTTGTCTCTTGCGAGGATCGCTGACCTAACTAATGGACAATGTGGTACGTGTCAACTTAGTAGTGCCACTGTCTCATCTATTTTTATTGAGTATCGACACTTCAATGAATTTTATATACATCTTGAGACAATACTTAATGCTTGATAAGTGAATATTTTTGTTTAGACGAGATTCCGCCAGTGTCATCGCCAACTAAAAATTCTGCACTAAATGAAATCGTTCAAACAATTAAAAAACTTCCAACAAACGACGAAGCAGAAGTTGATAATCAATTACTGACAACAGAAGTTGATAATCAATTACCGAAAGCAGACGTCGATTATCAATTACCAAAAACTGAACCACCACCAGCGGCTAAACCAATTAATAAAGCTCGTATAAACGAATTTGCATCTCTTCTATCATCAGCTGTTCATTTAACTCAGCCACCAATAACTAAAAAACAAGAACCATCGAAAACTACTGCAATTGTAAATCAACCATTGGCATCACCTTCACGTTCTGAAGATCAAAGTTTTTCTTCCATACCATCAGCAAATAGTGACCGAGAAGAACGTGAATCATTTCATACAGTGAAATCAAATAATAATTCAGAACAAGAACAAATCAAGAAACATATTGATGCACGTTATAACGAAAAAATTGACGATCGAGCTTCAATACAAATAAATACATCAAATATAAAAGCATTATTTGAACAGAAAATTTCCGATACAAATAAAACATTGACACAATCAAGTGAACATTTATTACATGTCGCTGAAGCTAGGCAACAACAACAACAACAACATAAAAAAGTACCAATTAGTTATGGGAGTTTAAAACGTAATATACCTGTTAGTCCACAACAAACAACACCAACGGCAAATCGACGACCATCATATCAAGATTCTCCAAGTATGAATAAATATTCAGAGCATGTTGTTGGAACAAAAGATGTTGTCATCGAAGACAAACAGGTATGAAAAATGATCGTTTTTATAATAAAAAAAAAATAGCACACGTATGACAACATTGAGTATATCAATATGAGATTTGTTCTAGACTAGATTAATATTACCCTATGTATTTATGGTCCTTGATAAAATAAAAAGCTGGAGGCTGTCATACGTGTGAGTAAGAGAGACTCTAGTTCGATGCTCATCCCTTATGGATGCTTGAGTTTTTGTTAGAAAATCGATGACAGAGAATCAGACTAAATCTGTTCGTGGCCGATGGGATCAAACATATCCTCAAGTTAGTATTAACCATTAATAGCAAAACAAAATTCGACACGAATTCTTATTCACTAGTTTAAAATAGAAAAATTCATCAAACTTCATATTAGCAGCTAGTAAACACCCAATGTTTAACAATTTGGTTGTTAGGTTTTTCTTATTTCGGATCTAGCATTTTTTGTTCATATATTTTGTCCGATGAAAATTTCAAAACGTATTCTAAAGACATACTTACTTATTCTATAAGCTCTATTATTTTTAACTCATTGTCTAACGATTTTAGCCTGAACATGTTCATCAAACGCAACCTTATGGTAGTAACATGCGTCGTAGTAATACTGACCAGATCATTCGGCCTGGAGCTGATTCGTTATCGTCATCACCAGTTATCATACCCAATGGTTATTATTCAGAAACTTTAATAGCTCGTGAAATTCGCGAAACAAAAGAAAAAGAAGAAGAATTGAAACGACAACGTAAAAAATGTGGTCTAGCTGAAGATTTATCTTCGTTATTAACAGTTTCAAATAATGATTTAAATAAACCTGATTCATCAACATCGGCTAAACAACCTGCTAAAAATAGTTCGTTTTTATCAAATTTAGATTTCTTTACATCCAAAGCACATAATTCACCCAATGAATTAACATCACCACGTCGTTCAACAATAGCATTACATAATATTGTTTATGATTCTCATGGAACATCACCCAACGATGAACGTAAACCAATGTCTAATGTAGTTTCACAAGAATTGAATCGTTTTAATAATAATGGTGTGCCACTTATTCGTACAAGTTCAACAAATAATTTAATTCATCGTTCAGCATCAAATCAAAATATTCTCTCAGCACAAACTACTAATAATATAATTCAACGTGAAATTGAAGCCATACGTGCTAAAGAAGTTGAATTACGTGAATCAGGTCGAATACAACATACGAGTGATGATCATGCAGATCCGAGAAAATATCAAGAATTTGTTTCCGTGTTACCAAAAAGCCAATCAACTAATGTGCTTTCAACTCAAAAAGTAAGAAGAGACAGTGGACGAACGAATGGACCTTTGACGCCAGTGTCAAATGGACCTTTGAAAGCAAAACCAATTGCTACTAGTTCATGTAAGAAATCTTTTCGATTGTTTTATTTACTGATGATGTTATTGTTTTAGCTGTTTCATCTATTCGTGGTAAATTTCCAAGTCCTAATCCAACCGCACCTATTATAAGTGCATCAAATAAATCGACGGATTATTCGAAATTATCATCATCTGATCGGCTTGAATTAGAAAAACGTGAATGTCGAGAAAGAGAACAAGAACTAAGGTAAACTAACTTTTCATATTCACGTAAATTCATATTTGATAAAGAGTTTTATCAAAATAACTTTATCCTATTATTATAACTCATATATTGAATAGCTTAGCAATAATAAAAGAATATATTTTTGTAAAAAATTGAAAATTTTATTTACTCAGAAAGAAAATTGCAAAGGTAAAGTTTATTTTTTTGCCTATATGAACTTGTGAATGAAAGAAAGACGCACTATATTACAGTTAGAAGTATTCATTTAATTTTAGAAAACAACGTCATTCAATTAGTGGTGCTTCATCGTCCGTTAATCCAGCAGTGAATAGTGATTCAGGCAATGTATTACAAGATGAACGTGGAGAAGACAAAGAACATTATTTTGATAAAATAGAACGATTGAAAAAAAACGAAAACGAAGTAAACAGCTTTTGATATGTGCTGAAAATTTTATTTTGTTTCTGTGTTTTAGAAAGCTCAAGCTCCGTTGGTTCGTCCTGGAAAAAAGCTAGATATGTCACAAAGATGGGAACAAATGATGGCGAATAAAAACTTTCAGAATACAACTGGTGATAACGATGATTAAAGTGAATTAATTTGTTTTGTTTTCCTTATCTACAGTTAATATACGGGTGCTCTTGTTGAAGACAAACGTTCTTATAGTCATTCCATCGCTTTGTTTTGGTTTTTTTCTTTCTTTTACTTTAATTAGTTTTAAATTCCAATCAGCTTGTTTTTCTTCTTTTATTGTATATTTATATTCGCTATTAACTTGTAATCAAAATTATAACATATATACAGGAAAAAAAGAAAAATCCTTTAATAGGTTCTGAATTATTTGTTGTGTTGTATCAAATGTTTTTCTTTATTATGCTAAAATATATCTTCTCTTTTAACGTTATTTCTTTTCTAGTTGATAAATTAAAGTAAAGGCACATTGGAAAAGAAAAGGATTAATTCAGTAGAAATGAAGTATTCAATAAAATGGCTAGTTGCAAAATGAGCACCACTTGCGGGTAATAACGAATTAGGTTAAATGGCTATCAATCATCACTTTGTTGTACAAAAGAAATAATAATAATAATATTTTTCATCGTCGAAATGGATCGTGTATACTTTCCGTGATGTTACTACTGATTGGATAACTCGAAAATAAAATACTATTTTACTGGCAAGTACTATTCAATGTTTTGAATTTTGTGAAATTAGCATTTGCGTCGTCAGCTGTGGAACACATGGTGACTTAATATAGAAATTTTTGGTGCAAAAATCATCCATTGTTTTTCATCGACAATCTGCTTTTAGATACATATATTTTGTAGAAATAATTGATCTTGCAACAAGTTTTACTGGAATAATTCTTCAAAAATACAGATCAACTTTAAAAATATGAAATATGAAATGCGAAAACAACAAGTGTCTATTGAGATTAGACCAACGATCTTGTCTAGCAGTAATGTTGACAGTTGAATAAAACAAAGGACAGTATGCCTAAGATATTTATGATCACGCAAATAATTGTTTCACTTATCACATCCACACCTTCGATTAATATTGATTATTATACGTTGTAGAAAAAATTCAATTCAATGAGATTGGTCAACATTTGAAGTCTCATGGGAAGATATTTTTCTCTAAAAAGTTTTGTATCATTTTTTATCCAAATGAAAAAACTATTGACCAGAGTAGTTATAATTAATGGATATATTTCACTCTCGTGGGACTAGTGAATTCAATGGTCGATCATACCTAATGAATACCGTTATTATTCAGGGAACAGATGTTGGAACAGATTGGTTTATAGCTGAACAAGCTGTCAATGTTGCTTGTAAGAGGACAGGTCATTTGTGTTGCCATGGATCATTAAGAAATCAACTAGCTACTGGTCTTGAATTCATTGATGCATTGTTATGTACGAATGATTGAGTATTGATATCGTCAGCAATAAACAGTTGGAATATTTACGTTGTACTATTACATGTTTTTGTCCTGCTAAGAATTCATATTTCACGATGTACTAGTAATTGACAATGAAGTGAAATAAAAACTGTATTTATGTTTAATTATTATTTAAAAATGTTACATGTATAGAATTAAATATTTATTCGTTTTTCATAATCATGTTCATACCATTTACTACCGGATGCGCCGGGTCCATAGTTATCTATCGACTTCTTATCAGTTGATTTTACCACATGATTCGTTACCAATATGGGAGTAAGCTCAGAAGTCGTCCTTGTTACTGGAACAAACGAAGAAACAGTAGGTTTTTGTACTAAATGAGGTGTGTCATTTGTATAAGAACTATTAGAAATGGGATGTTCTCTAGCAATAGGACTTGAATGTAAGTTTGCAGTAAGTGGAACAGGTACATCATGATGATGACGGTGACCATGGCTGGGACCGTTGGATCTCTGATGGCGACGATGACGTTTCTTTGAATTGTCCGAAATTGGAACAGGCTGTTAAATGTTACTAAATAAAACAGTAAATAAGTTATCACCTACTACTTACATTATTTGCTTGTAATTACCCATAAAATTCATTTTGTAGCTACGTGTCACTTGACTGTTGATCCGGAGTGTTTCTAATATTTCTTCTTGTTGGAATTTCATTTGAGCTACCCATTTTATAAAATGTTATGAAGAAAAAAAAATCAAAAAAATGTGTTGCTTGTTTTTATTCGCGAGAGAAAGGATTTAAATGGGACTAAATGACATCTACCCAATAGTCATGTTTATTCAAACACAAGATACAAAAACTACTAGATATATTCATTGTTTCACAAGTTACTCAAAAAACAATAAAGTTAGAATGTTTTATCTTTTTTTAGATTTGGTAGCATTTTGTTTAGTGATTCTTTTTTGATGTTGAGCATAAAATTCCGTTTTATCATTGTCATCTTCACTTTCTACATCATTCGCAAGCAATGTAAAATTATTTAGTCGATGAGAACCTATGTTACAGAACAAAAAAACAATTAGATTTATTTATTCATTTAATAACGTACGCGTTGAAAAACGAGTACTATAGTGCATCGATCGATTGATGGTTGGTAAAGGTGATGGTTCTCGTATTGGTATTTCTTCTTTTTTTTCTAAAGAAGCATAAACCTATATTCAAATGTAACTCGTGATAGAAGTTAGATATACTTTTGCTTTTATTAGTTTTTTGTTTTTTCGCTACTTTTTGTTTTGGTGTTTCCTCATGAATGTTAACGTAAGAAATTGGTTTTCTTTTACGTAAAGTGATAGTACTCGATGTTCTATCATTATCATCTGATACTGATTGTTTTCGTTTTCGATTTGGTTTCGTATTTTCTGATGTATGAATCGATTCTGGTTCATTTTTTATTGTAGGTCTTGATCGAATTTTTGATATTGGTTCTGGAAAAGCAAAGGAATTTCTAGAAAAAAAACATATTTATATTCAATTGAGAAGGCAAAAGCGAAGAAGTTTACTGTTGTTGAATATTTGATTCTTCGTGAATTGATTGAGTCTGTTTCGGCTGATATTGGACATGATTATTTTCAATATCATTCGTGTGCTTCATTTTTAAATAACTAAGTAAAACTTCTTGACTAACACGATTAATTATTACTTTTGGCTTGACTAAATCGAACACTGTAACTTTTGATAAGAAAAATGAGAAAAAATTATTGTTTTTTTACTGTTTTGATCTAGTGGTGAAAGAACACTTTTTATGGATTCAGTTTGTTCATCTTGAAGAATCGTTGGAGAAAAATAAAGTGGCACTGGTGGATTGGGTTGAGAATACATAGGTGACGTATTGATGTCTATCAAATGGGCATGCGAAGAAGTTGCCATGGACAATGTTTCGTTCGTTTCATCGTTTGCTGTTTCTTCAAGTGTAATAACATATGTTTGATTGATACTGGGAAGAACTCGATTTGAGTTAATTGGATTTAAATCAGTACTCATACATTCTTGTTTAGTTGATATAGGATGATCAACGTTCATTAATATTTGTGGTTCATCATTCTAGAAGGATCACATATTATTTGATTGAATCAAAAATTGTGTTTACCAGTAATTTCGAACAATTTTCTTCGTTTATCATTTGCATATTTTGTATACATGGATGGATATCATTGGAAGTAATCAAGTTTCTATTAAAATGAAATAATAAAAAATATTTTGCTTGATTTTGAGCCAAATCACGCGGTAAAACATACTGATCAATAGCAAAATGAATTTCTTTCCAATAATCATTTTCTTCTTCGAGCACTTTTCGAATAATACTACAATGTTCATGTATAGTGCTGCGAATTTTTTCCATACGCTGCAAGTAAAACTTTAAAGTTGAAAAATTTCATGGAAAAAAATTCTATTTACTTTATCAAAAAACACTGGTAATGATTCTGAAGCCATGTCGGCTAAATTGTCAATTACATGAACTTTTTTCTCATGTTTCAGCAAATATTCATTCGTTTCAGTGATAGTTTTTTCAACATCAAGATTTTGCTGACAAATATATTTTAATTGTTTTTCATATTGTACTAGAAGAGAAGTAAGAGATCATGAAAAATTTCGTTTTCTTATTTTCATATTACCATTGACACTAATTTCAATTAATTTTCGAGCTTTTCTACATTTAACACGTGTAGCTTCGAAACTAGTTCGATTCCACGTTATGGGTATGTCAAAGACTGTTTGATTGACAAACGAAAACATTGAGAATGATGATAGTCGCTTGTTGAAGTCAATGATGATGAAAAAATTCGTTTGTAAGCTTGGATTCAGAACAAAGACGCATCGTTTTTCTTCGCGTCAATCATTTTGATTAAAACCAGTCGTTGATCATCAATCGACAGATGTCAGGTATTACTTTCACACCATCTATTAAATAATTCAATCTTTCCAGTGGATGTAAACACGATTTTTCGTAAATGTAGATATGATCCTTTATGAAAGGGGAAAAGATTTGAAACTTTTGATTCTCTTCAATTATAATTCAAAAAGGATTGGTCAAGGTGGAAAGCTGGATCTCATACTCTCGTAATTCTTCTCATACTAGGAATCTATAGTTTTAAAAGAATTTTTTTATGATAGTGTGATGAGGAGTGAGACTATTAACTAATGAGCTTTATACCACGAATTCTTTCGAGATTTCTTCTCTATTCATAATTTACCTAAGTCTGTGTCCCGAGTTCTTGTAAAATACTACATGAAACTGTATTTTGTATGAAAAAGAACGATTGTAGTCAATAAAAAAATAAATTGTGTAAAAGATGTCGACTTTCATCTAACTATTTCATGAAAGAATAGCACACAAAATGTTCTATGCATTCGTAACTAAGAGAGACTGCGAAGAATGACATAGTAAAATAAATTCCTATGGTATTTCTTGAATGATTATCCTTTGACATAAATTGATGCCTTTGTTTAGTCTGTAACGATATATTGACACTTTCAAATATCGACTTCGGTCTGATGTGAAGAGAAAATTTCAGACTCTTCTTTGATTGCGACAATTATAAATGTATACGAAAAAACGAACACAGCAGGAACATTTCTATGATAGAACAGAGAAAAAACAAACGTGCAGGAAAAGCTTTTCATGTTTCATTTTTGTTCTATACCAATTAATCAAAGATAAGCTCGCTCGTTAATTGTTTTCAAGTCTGATTAATTGTCTTGTATCAGCGCATCTCTCTCTCTCTCTCTTTCAATATATATATTGGCTTGCATTTCACATTCAATTCATTTCAAAAATTTGAATATCTGTCTACAATGTCTTATTATCAAGATTTCTCATATTGTTATTCATCAAGCGATGAATCATTTTCTTATGTTTCAGATCCATGCTATTGTCCTGTTCATTATGCTCCTCCAGTTAATACATGTGCTATTCATCAACCATATGCATATTATACTAATAATGGAAATATCAATGTTCAACCAGTAGTAAGTAATTATTCAAATGTAAATTTTTCTTCTTTACAGGTTCGTCCAGAGAAGACTCGTCGATTTTCTTCTGAACAAATTCGAATTCTTGAAGAACATTTTTATAAGGTTGATAAATATCTATCAAAAGTAACAATTGATGAACTTTCAACTCGAACTCAATTAAAACCGGCCCAAATTCGTGTCTGGTTCAGCAATAAACGTACAAGAGAACGACAATAATAATTTTTCTTTTTTTTTGTACAGTTTTTAATTTAATGTAAATAAATAAATGATTAAAGCATAATCTTGATTTCATTCTCTTGATAATCGATGAAAAACAAAGAATCAATTCTGACTTTTAATGAATCAAGTAACTAACATCACTATCTTATTCTAAATCATGTGAGATATTTGTATTGTATCAAAAGTATACTATTTATTGGTTTATCTCGGCGCCTATAACATTATTCGCTCATGAAACCATTAATTTTAAACAGAACGAGAATAATCTCGTACATGAAATAAAGCGAAGTTAAACATGGATAGGTTTCTTTATCCAAAAGTGGTTTGATTTCTTTTTGTTTTATGAACTAATATCAACTTAATAAAATTCAATAGGTGAAATGATTATTACTCAATTTCATGTTGATCATTGTGTATAAACACTTATTTAGTTCGAAAATGTAAATAGAACATTTTCAATAATAGTTATGGAATATTAAGAATTGATACTTATACGACATTGTTGAACAATGGATCTATGATTTACATAAAACTACAGTGAATGTTCAATCTTTCGACAAAAAAGACTGTAAGGTCTAATCAAATTCATAGAAGAGAAGAAATTTTTGAAATAGGAATGCCGGAGATATTCCTAGATCATCCATTATTTTTATCTCAGTGTGTTTCGTCAACCAGGATACATTTTTTTATTTGAAAATATTGTTTATATTACAAATGATTATGTCGATTGTAATTATGTATATGTGGAATTCACTTTCATGTAAAATTGGTGTTGATAATGACTTTTTGAACAAGATCGAAAACGTCGCAATATTTTTGAATAAAATAAGTAAAATGTCTGATGAGTTAGTTTACCTAGAAGACAGTATATACGTTTACAGACAACATTTTAGTAGGAAGCATTCATATATATAATTGATTACCAATTTGTATTAGTTTTTAATTCACTAATTGAAAAATGCTCTGGTTTGAACTTAAAAATAATCTTAACATATAACAAGAAAGTTAGAAGAAAGTATCTAAATTGTGGTTATTGCTTCACAAACTGTAAAAAACGACATCAAATTTAAAATTTTGACAAAATCGTTACATTTTGAAGGGCAACTTTTTCCTTTTTCAATAGATGCGTTTCCTATCATGATTAGGTTACTATTTTCAAGTACTTCGTCAATCCGAAATGATGAACTAGGAAAGTACAGAGCAAAGGCTGGAAAGCGTAACATATATCAATTATTTCTCAAAACCTTGTTTATATGAAATTCTCACACAGCGCCCTTCTATGAATAATAACCTACTAGTTGAAACAAATTCTAGTCTTTACACTGAACGACGAACAAAAATGTAGTGATTCGTTCTTGATTAACAAAAGATGAGCATCCACTAAAAATGTACTGCAGTCGTTTCTGATTGAAAAATATTTATGCTTCTAAAATTATCTGCAGCTCAGCTTTCTAAGCCACTCTTAGAACTATTGAAAGTGTTATAAGTGAATATCTTTGAAAAACAGCAGAAATCGACAAACACTTTTTTATTCTAGTCGGGATGTGAAGTAGGGTCATCTTTTTGTGTTAGCATTGATACGATCATGTATTATAAGTGCGTTGTATGATTGTGCTTGTAATGATGATTATAAATATATGTATATTTATAAGCTACTGATAATATAGTCTTGTACCTGTATCATTAATGCAAGTAGTCTAGCTCTATTTAAAATTTGATCCGATAAGCGATATTGAAATGTGAAAAGTGAAAACAATTTGATGATGAATAATAGTCATTAAGACAGTGAAGTTTGTCAAAAGAGAAAAAAATATATCCATCGACATCCATGTAATTAAGAACAGTACGGATTAAATACAATAGAAACTGATTAATCTATCCAATTAAATAAAATTTGGTTATGCTTATCATTGTTGATTTTATTTGATGAAGTAGCAATAAAGTAGGCAAGAAAACAGTTCGCTACTTGCATTCAGGAGTATATAGTGCGGCAAAGAAAAACAAAATAAGCCCTAAAATGCATCACTAATCAAATATTCAACGATGTTGTCGGAAGGCATTTGCATACATTATGCTAGATTAATATAAGAGACAAATGACTAAAATTCTAGGTAACTCTTGCTTCCATTTACTCTCTTATAAGCAGTGAATCATGTAACGTGGCCCATTGGAAAATTGATTATATTAATTATTTTGGTAGAAGAGAACGTGGGCATTATGTAAAAATTATTATTGAAGCATGAAACAAGGAATCATTAAATGCTAACTGTCAACGGAAGTAACATCCGACACAATTTCATCTTGCTAACCGAAAATGCTACTATTTTCAATGCTCATCGTTGTTCTAGCATCATATCAACTTGATGCTCAATCGCGCAACGAGATTGACGCAGCAATGTTAAAAGTGAAACGATACCTTCTCCTTTCACCAAGACTAGTAGACAGCGATGACACACAGTGGTTACCAAATAGTGGCAAAATTGGCGTTGGATATGATTTAGTTAAGGGTTCACCAGTTTGTTACACGGGGCAATGTCAAATGGAAGGATTTAGACAGCCCGTTTTCAAACTTGACATGACCAAACGAGCGGAAGGGTCTTGTACCAATAAATTCATTCCCAAGAACGTTAATCTTGATTGCCTATCGTCGACACAAATAACAGCAAATACAGAGAGTATTACTACACTAGATCAACTGATGGAGAATACGAAGAGAAATATTGATTTCTCATTGAGTATGGAAGGTTTTGGTAATTCATTCAGTTATTCACACTCGCATGAAACGCGTTCAATGATCGATACAATAATTCAGTCGAATTCGACCGTTTATTTCACTCGAACAACCCCATCACTTGGGTACGTCTCTCTGCTTTTACGCCTTTACTCGAGCTGTCGGATCAATTTCGTTATGTAATTGATAACATGCCGTGTTGTAATCAGTCACATGAACTCGATCAATATATTCAGGAATTTATCATCGAGTTTTTTGGCATTATGTATGTCAAGGACTTACTTCTCGGCGGTATTGCACAGCAGAACATTATTGTCTCCGAAGAGAATCAAAAGAATCTTCGAATGAACGGGTTTACCACTGCACACCAGGGTGAACTGAAGATAGCTGCTGCTAGTATTTTTTCTGCCTCTACTAAATTGTCGATGACTGAACAAATTGATCAGACAAGGCTGAACACATTTAAGAAGTTTTCACAACAAAATAGTATCATAACTCTTGGTGGTGGAGTCAGTATGCAGTCAATCGAGGAATGGTCAAAAACTGTTTCGTCGAATCCAACAATTATTAAGTTTGGTATTGCACCAATAATTGATCTTCTTACTGCTAGACGTTTTCCACAGGATGTTAAAATAACATCAAAGAGAGACTTGATCCGACGTGTACTAGAGATATATTTGACAAATCAATTGTTTTGTTATAACAATTGCTCACAGCATGGATTATGTGTAGCAACTAAATACTTTGGGTTCGGACAATGCCTCTGCGACCGAGCATGGAGTGGAATTGATTGTTCTATTGCTGTGGGAAGCGGTAAGGTTTGTTTCGTAGTGCATATTCAGTTAGTCTATGTGGGAAGAGCTCAAGTATTTTACGGTTCGTGTAGGTCCTACTATTTTGAAAGATCGATTGCCTTGAAATATTCACGTGTTGTTTTGCTACACTAGATGTAAGAATAGGTGTTAAGAGACACAGAGATAGTAATGTTTAGACTTGTCTCTTAGACCAAGTAACTTGTACGCCGTGACTTATGGCAGTTCATCGAATAAAGATCTAGACATACTAGTGTTTATGATACTTTTAAAAATAAGTTGCACATGAACAATGTGATTTCGAATGAATATAACCGTTGTATTGTGTTTCATAGTTTAATCCTGTATTGATTCTATTAAATGCTCTTTTGAGAGGCCTATACTAAAATTATCAAACTTTCAAAAAAAAAGAAAGTATCTATTAAAGCCAATGAAAAAGCAACGCTTCATATCTTTACATCTTACCTGCCATAAACATCTTCAGATATAATCATAAGTAATTGGTCCTTGCAGGAAACCAGATACCACTATATAGATATGCGACCGGTGATCTTCATTTTTATACGACAAGTGAGACTGAAATTGGAACGATCACTCCCGGTTCTGTTGGGAAACTTGGATATATTTTTGAAGGTATCGCGTGTAATTTACTGAAGGAACAACAGCCTAACACAATACCCTTATATCGATATGGTGCAGGTTCATACTCTCATTTCTACACAACCAATTGGGCTGAAATTGGTACCAATGCACCTGGTACAGTAGTTAACGGCTGGACAATGGAGGGGATACTTGGATATGTTTATGGAACAAAACAGCCTGATACATGTCCTCTTTATCGTTACTGGAAGCCAGGTCAGCACTTTTATACAGTAGACCCATGTGAAATTGGTGTTGTCAAGCCTGGATCGATCGGTTCCCATGGTTTTAAATCAGAAGGCATGGTTGCTTATGTATTGACGACTTTCAAATGTGAAACAATTGCATGTCAATGAATTTATTTTATCCCGACATACAAGACTAGATTTTAATTCTTGAAATATTTACAATCGTCCTTAGAAATAAAGAATCTATCAAATTCTTAAATTGTCTGCCAGTAATATCGTAAAATGTGAGTAAGCTGTATATCTATGTTCGATGATTGATGAGAGAACCTTCTTCTTGCATTCTATTTCTTTTTGAGACCTTTTGGTATGATCAATACGTTGAAACCTTTTACCTTTCATATTTATTATTCTACGAGATTTTTGTGCAGCTTTCCTTTCTAGGGTTTAACATATTTTAAATCATACAAGCCATTGGGTCATATACGATAAAAATCTGTGATATAATTTGAAATTTGAGAACAGAGATGACAATATACCTCTGGATTCTTGAACGATAGAGAAATCGATTCATAGATCTCACATTACAAAAATAGAATCGATTACAAATGAAAGAATAAAGCCTAAAGAAAATCGAATGTTTGTGGCGCAGCTGATTTTTTTAATACCAAATTGTTCGATCAATTTCTAGTGGGCTTTTGTTTGGAATGTGTGCTGGTTACTGTAAGCAGTCAATTAATATGTCATTCGATCCATTACAGATCATGGCTTTGAAAGAACCCAACTTTGAGCAAAAATCCTAGCATCCTATTCAAAATGCATGGGAGGATATTGTCGCTAGTATTAATTTGAAAATATTGCAGACACTAAGTGATACGGTCGGATGTCCTGACTGTGCTGATCGGTGTAGCAGAATGGATTCAAGTGGATTGGATAAATGACAGTAAAATAGTAACATTTGAAAGTGGACGTGTCATCAAGGGAATTGAATAATTGATTGAAAAACTTCGAAAAATGAGACAGCCGTATATAATTCATTTTTAAAATTATCTAATTAGACAGCGAGTGAATAAAACATAGCAGAGTTTCAAAAATATAAATTTCTTGTCATTATACGCTATCAGTTGATATTTTAAAGTCGAGTATAGTTGAAGATTGTTTCTTACTTTTTGAATATTAAAATCCATAGAGTAAAAGATTTTAAAAAAAAATTATTGAGCTGGTTAAGATGGCAATGGATTACCAACTGTTTAGTAAATTTATTAAAAATTTGAAAATATCGATTTCTATATTGAATTTTACGGAATTGTCTAGTTATAAAAAATTAAATCCTTTTCACTTGAAGTAGTTCTGATAATAAAAATGTCGTACTTCTACAGAGAAGACTAAAAAAACTTTCTAACTTACATTTTCAGCTTTCCTTACATCAAGTGCAGAATACTTAAATGCATACATTGAAAAACGGACTGTTTTTCAATTGATATAGTGGAGTTTATTGGAATTACACTATTTAAATCTATGTAAAATATGCCATTCTATATTACTTTAACGTAGAATTTCTTAATTTCTAAGTTTACTGTGAGCTTCTATTTAACTTTTCTATGAGTAACAATTTTCTAAAAACCATTCTGCAAATGCGATATCATTTTCCGCCTTTACTTTAGTTAGGCAAATTTAATATATTATTAAAAGTTTTCCTCTACAAAATTAAAACTATAAGTAATTTTTATCAAAGGATTTTCTGTTGACTAAAACTACATATTTAATGTCTTGGCATTGTCTGGATAAAGTTAAACAAAAACACTTATTGCTTCTTGGCTGAGTTTCACAGCAACATTGATATACATTTTAAAGAGACTTTTCAAAAACTCCTAAAACTATTAAAATTCATTGCGTTTCTTTATGAAAAGAACAGGGTTACCACATTCAAATTTTGAAAATCAGGAGAAAAATCAGGAGTATTTTCTGTTGATATTTAACAGTCATTTGATGGTTTTTATCTGATAACAACGCACTTTTTACTAATAGACACATTGACCGTGTTCCTAATGAGACTAATGCTCAAAAATTGTCTTGAGGGCGAATTAAAATTCTAAATACAATGCTGATGAAATATAGCTGTGAGAGTGCTTAACAGCATGGAAAACCATAATGCCTTCTGCAACACTCAATTTATTAAGTTCCGATGTGACCATATGAAATGTTTCAGAAATAGATTTCGCTGGAAAAAATTCAAAAGTACTTCTATTAGTAAAATTAGTAGGGATAAATCTTACATCGATTAGATTCAGCTGATTTCAAATACTCTAGATATTTTTTCGATTTTTTTATGACTATTAATATTACCAACTCCACTATTTTGAATGGAAAATTGTATGTTACACACAATACATAAAGACTTTGTAGGATCCGTTTTACATTCCTGAAAGTAAAACGGAT